GGGGAACGCTCTATAGCATGAGCTCTAAGCCTTCCACTGCCGTCAGTGATTCCTTCCTCCAACTGTACGAAAAATTGGAAGACATTTGAACGTTGAACTTTAGCTTAATAAAAAAATCCAAGCAAATGCAGTTATGTTCACAGTGATGAAACTGGCTGATTTAATTATGTTAATGTCACCTGTTTGTATGATGGTCAGCTCTTGACATGACTAAGGCTTGTCATCATGTCATCCAGGATTTTGTTGTTTTAAGCATGTTGTACCTCTTTAAGTATTAACAAATTCTGCAGTACTCCTTGAATTAAGCTTTAATTTTCTGCAAAAGATGCAGTTACAAGTATGTACTTCTTGAATATTATTACTTTCTGGTTAATATAAACCTATCATACACAGTTAGAATATTTGTGCCTTAATATGCTTGTCTTATTTTTGACTTCTGTTTTCTGTGGATTTGAATGTATTACAAAAAAAAAAAAAAAGCATACATTTGAAACAAAAAAATATGGAAAATTATTTTCATTCACACTATAGAAGACAAGCTAGATAATTTCACCACTCCAAAAAGGCGTCTTGATTTTGAAATTTTCAGCTGGAACTTAAGAGATACACTAATATTTCTGTGTAAGACATCTGTGATATGAGAAAAGAAATGGTGCCTCCTCCACCTGTGAAAATCCCATAAATCACATCATCTGGCTGCAAAAGAATCAGAATAGAAAATGAAACTGGGATCTTATTTTTTTTGTCAAAACATATGTCAAGCGGATTGAGCTAGAAGATGCTGACTAAATCAGTTTCTGTTGATTCTTCAGGCATGATTTCCTGTCCCCTCCCAAAGCTGTTCTGGATTTGCAACTGTGCCCACAGATGAATTTTTGTGGTGGGGGAGAAAAGTAGACTAATACTGTCCCACCTACCTTTCTGGTGACAATCCAGCTTCCTGGATGTATGCAGTGTGGGAAAGATTAATTAAGGTCATGCACTGTAACTGAATTTACTTTTGTGCATAACATGGAGTTCAGAGAAATGTTGATTCTTGAAATTCTGTGTCTGTTTAAATTCTAAATCTAAATAGCCTCTTAGTAGTATAGTAATACATCAGATGTTTTTCTTCTTCTTGAATTTCTTCTTTTGTTTTTGGTTTTGGCCTTTAAAACATGCAAAGGAAAATTGAGAGAGAGTTGAAAAATCAAATCCAACAAAAACCCATACTTGACAGCCAGTGGATTTTTACACATAATCTTTTTCATATGCCTGTGTGTCCCATGGCATGGACTTCTGGTTCTGACAGTAACTTCATGTTTTGTCCAACCCATCGGCAGGCACAAATATTTTTTTCACAAAATGTCCTTTGTCGGATATTTGGTAGTTAAAAACTCAGTGGAAAGTTAGACTGAGGGCCGTTATCTAAGCAGCATTCAGAGTGGCACACACCAACAGTACTGGCATTGTCCTTTGCCTCAGTCTGTGAGAGTCCTGACTTTCTCAGCTCATTAAGGCACATCCTTTACTACATGAAAATACCATTTACCAGCAAATGTGCAACTTAAGAGTTTTATGCTTAAAAAGAACTTTTTTGGATTAGTAAAGGAGCTGCATATGGTGAAACATGATGGACTGTGTGTGTTAAACATTTCATATCTAAGATCGTGTCTCCTGGCTATAAATCTCCAAAATTTAGCGAAGACATCATGTCCTAGGGAGCAACCTCTGTAGTTTAGTTGCTGAGTATCAAAAGTTCAGATGCTTGAAATTCATTAAGTCATGCCTTGCTATGTCACAGTTTCATTCACACAGTTGGGAGATTTGCCACCACACTGAGCTGGTAGCACGTTGTGAACTCTTCATGGAAAAGCATCACAGCAGATTTCATGGGACCCCTGTACAACCCCTTACCATATCTTGCACTCAAGGAAGAGTCAATATGCAGGATGGAGTCACCTCACTTGGCCATTTAAGATGGAAAAATAGTCCTTGAGTATTGCTTTTAAGTAAAAAAAGAGGCAGAATTTTCTCTTCCCTGATGATATTTCAAGTGTACCTGGGAGCAAAGGAGTCCATCAATGTTTAATAACTAGCATATAACTTCCTGACAAGACAGTAAAAATAAATCACCTGATACTTTTTAAATTCAAAGTCATTTAAGAGAATCAGGAAGATTTTTCTGAGCTGCATTATAGTTCCCAAGCCCATCCCTGAGGCTTATGAATCTTGGACAGCTGTTATTTTCCTATGTTGTTTTGTGCAAAGGTTCATACAAACTTCAAGTGTTTTTCATTTAAAGGTCCTCCAGCTGCCTATGAATTTTCAGTTGCTTGAACACAAGGCCAGGGGTACATGGCTGGTGTTTTATTGTTCGCTTAGCTCAAGTGGAAAATGGATTAACCATATTAATCAAACATTCCAAACATATTTACTATCAGCCTGAGGTCAAATCTAGTCAGTTTTAGCCCAGAAATCTTTGTTGGACAAGTTCTGAGACATGATCTTAAAATGAAAACTGTCAAATTAAGTGGTAGCATTTAACACAGGTGTTAAAGTCTGTATTTATTGTAAAAAAAAACTATTACAAGCTATATTCGCTGAATATTGTAATTTCTTATACTATCTGTTATTATCATATGAGCATTTTCATTATGCTATTCAGATACTTTTTAGATTGAAACTAATTTATTTTTTAAACTTTTTTTTTTTCTCTGTTTAATAGCAACAACAGACCAGCAGGCTGCCTCATTTGAAATGGAAATGTCTCAAGCTGGTTTCAGTGCTCATTATTCTCAGGTGAACAAACTGTTTGAAAGTAGAAGTTCTTTTACAAAGTAAATTTTGTTGTTTATGGCAAGAATGTGGAATGAGTGTTGCAGAATTCTTTGTACAGACCTGTTTGCTGTTGGAAGTTTTGGAGTTTCCTTTAATCCAGTTTTGTTTGGTTTAGAATGTGTGTAAAGACTGAAATTATTGTAAACAGTGAGATCTTAAGAGAATAATACCTTCTTCACATGAACTAAATGTTAAATTAAACTAAATTAAATTCTAAATTTAATGCTCCCATAGCACTTTCTGTCAGGAAATTAGTCTATAATACATTAATAAAGACAGAGAAAGACTTCTTACTAGTGCCTGTAGTGGCAGGACAACAGTTTCAAAGTGAAAGAGGGTGGATTTAGAAAGGATGTAAGGAAGAAATTTTTATGATGAAGGTAGAGAGACCATGAAGCAGGTTGCCCAGAGAAGTTGTGGATGCCCCATCACTGGAAACGTTCAAGGCCAGGCTGGATGGTGCTTTGAGCAACCTGATCTAGTACAAGTTGTCCCTGCCTATGTTAGAGGACTTGGAACTAGATGATCTTGAAATGTCTCTTCTGACCCAAATCTTTCTCTGATTCTGTGAACTATAAATCTGTTCTCTCAAAATATTAATGTAGAAATTGATCCTCCATTGTATTGGTGAGATTCAGACAGAAGAAATATAGACAGAATATTTTTGACATGGATATGATCTGCATTATTTGTAATACAACATATTCTTCATTCTGTTAGCAAATTGAATCCCTCAGTTCTCCAGGGGTGTATTTTTATTTAACTGGGATGCAAAAATCCATGGGAATTTGTATTAGCAGTAATTTTATTTATTCTTGAAAAATCAAGAAGTATCCATTGTGATAATCTACCCCATGAACACAAATAAAATTAAAATTTTGCATGAGATCAGAGGAACTGGGAAGAGTTAAGCTTTAAAGATATGAAAAAGTAGTGACAGTGGAAAAGAGCACAACAGGAAAATAACTGAACTGTGCAAACACCAAGTAATCCAAGAAAAACTGACGTGCATAGGAAAACATTCAACATGGCTTTGTATACAGCTCAGCATGTCAGTGATAAAAAAGAGTGAAAAACCTTCAGTATGATTTCACAGACATAATTTACTGCAGAAGCACTCTGTATATTTTTACTATTTGCACTACAGTGCCTCAGATGGTGTATCGTAGCCTAGAAACAAGCATTATCCTGACGGGGAGCATGGTTATCTCTTTGGTACAGCATATTCTTGAAGTTCACAAACAACTGGCCTGTTGTCATCAGAAACTCACTTTGGAAGTGGGTTTTCAGTCCTTGACAGACTCAGGGTCTCTGGTATCTGTCTTACCTAGAGGGCTACATTGATGCCTTTAGGCAAGAAATGTCAGCAAACCATTTCTCATTGTCAAAAGGCTTTTGCACAAAATACGAGACTCACAGATTCAACAGAGGAAGGTTCACATTTGTGAAAGTTCATCTGGGAAATTGATTTAAGTGTTTTATCTCCTGCTTAGCTTTGCTAAACCCCTTTTGTCTTTCTGTGTGACATGGAATGCTGGGCTGAATTTGCAGGAGCTGTATTTAATTCTGCTGCATTTCCTGAATGACCCTTTTTATTTATTTAATTTTTAAGTTAGGTACATTTTTATTAAAACCTGGGAATCATACTATGACTGTAGGGACCATGCTACAATAGGAAAAGCAGGGCTAAATATATAAGTGTACAGAAATCATTGCCCAAATGGGAGCATCATCATCAATGAACATTGAAAGATGATTCTCATAGAGACCAGGCTTTTTTGTTTTTCTCTGTATAAGGATTGGATCATGCTTGGAGCAGTTGGAGCATATGACTGGAATGGCACAGTGGTCATGGTGAAGGACAGTGATATTTCAATTCCAACTAATGACACTTTTCGTGACAGGCGTTCAGAAAAAAATGAACCCCTTGCAGCCTATCTAGGTAAGAGAAGCAGCCCATTTATAACACTTTTCAACAAATGCTACAAGATGTCTCTAAAATCTCGTTCAGAAAAAGTATATTACATAATATTATCTCATATTCTAGGAACCTGGGAAAATTTACAATGTATGGACATGTCTACTGTATGATTTTCTGGTTCTTTTAAAAAAAAAAAAATTAAAAAAAAATCTACAATAAAAAAAAAATAGTCCAAACACTTTCAAACCTAAGTATATCTAGACTTTACACAACAGAGACATATGTCTGTTCAGAGATTTCACAGATTCCTCTAGTAGTACTATAAAGTTTTTCTATGCCTTGATAGTTAAAAAGTTTTATACAATATTCAGTCTAAATCTTTGCTTTAAATTAAGCTGATTTCTATCACTCAACGGACAAAGACAAAAGTTTGCTACTATCTTTTTACAATAATGTTTTGAATGCTTTTCCTATTGCTTTCCTTTCAACTTTTTCTACCAAAGAACATTAGTGGCTTTGCTTTCTCTTCTAGGTCTTGCTTTCTGCACCTCATAGTTCTGTTTGCTTTGTTATCTTGTGTAAGCGACATTTTCACTAATGAAGAGTCAGCGCTAGTAGAATTTCATGGTTTTTTTCCCCCTAAGTACATTGTTTATCTTCTTTGCAGAATACTGCTATCAATGTCTTTAATATCTCAAATTTTGTAAATTAATTCTAAATTTAGATTCTATTCTCCATAAATACTTGCAACCCTGCCACATTTCTAATTTGTCTGCAATTTTTTTAAGTTTCCCCTTCACCCAAGTTGTTACAATGTTGTTAATAAACAAGCTAGATTCAGAATGTCCCCAGAATCATATCTGTAAGACTCTGTTAGCTTGATAGTGAACTGGCGATAACTGTTCCTTGAAAGTAGCTTTTCAAACAGACATTCATGGTTCTTTTGTCAGGACCATCATATTCTTACACTAAGCACATTGATTCACCAGCCTGTGAACAGGTTTAATAACACAGTGGTGTTCCTTAATCTGAGACTGTAGGAAAATACACATCCAGCCCTTTTAATTAACTCTGCTATTATTCTCTAGTATAAGCAGGACTAAACATCTAGCTGTAGATTAACCCTTAAAAAGGTTCTGAATCACAGCATTTCTGATGCATTCTGTTTACTGCATCCTGACTTCTTTTCTGCTTCTTAGGCTATACTGTGAATTCTGCATTGACACCTGAAGGTGTACTGTACATAGCAGGACAGCCACGATACAATCACACTGGCCAAGTTATCATTTATAAAATGATACTTGGAGAGGTACAAGTACTTCAGAGGATAAATGGAGAACAAGTAAGTATGCATTCCTTCTTAACATATAAGAAGAATATGGCATGAGAAATAGAAATAGTGATTTCAAATGAGAACTGCATGAGAAGAGTAAATGAAACTGGGAGTTCTAACCAAGATCAGCAGGA